AAATATTTAATGCACACAATATTTCCGAAACATTGTCAAAAGTTAAGTTGAAAAACGTCTTCTTTTTATACGTATTTTTCAAGTTTTAAACACCCTCTCTATAAGAGAAAATTTTTCCAATTTAAAACAAAATTATGTCGGATGAAAGGGGTATTTATTAAGTACATAGAAACAAAAATTTGTGTTAATCTATACAGTTTTCAAAATAGATTAAAGTTGAAAATATAAAATCAAATATTTTGGGGATTTCCTCTATTTACAGGGAATGAAGGATATGTTTTCAATTTTTACGGGCAATTACTTCAACTAGATACGATTTTTGATATTTTGGCATATCGTTGAAAGAAATGGGTCCTGTGAGAACTGAAAAAACTTGATGACAAACACAAAAAACAAAAAAAAAACATATATTAGTAAAATTTATACCTTTTCAACTTTGCATCAAAGATAAAAAAAAGTTGGAAAAACATAATATTATTGTAAAATTATGTGTTTTCCATAATCTATAGAAGTTTAAATATGAATTTTGTAAAATGTACTGTTAATCCTTTTATCCACTCTACATATTAAATTATAATATTCTACAACTTAAGTTATTGATCATTACTGTATAATTTGTATTCTTGTGTTTAAGCTGTTGAAACATGTGTAGTAATTGAATCATTTTTACGACAATCCCCTGATGGTAAATTTATCTGTTTAATGTCTAGACTGAAGACAAACGATGTATTTTTTGCCAATAATATTATTATCATAATAATACACTATTTTAGAGAGTAAAAAATAAAGCGAAATGTAGTCAAATTAATCTTTTTTGACAGCGAGTGCTCGAATGTTCAATAAACCTTCAAGGCGAGGTTTGTTCATTATTACCTTTAAAGGCAGTTTTCATGATGATAATAATTTTCTATAACAATAGAGTGATAAATAAACTTTAAAACACCCATTCAAGCACCGTCAAAAGCTTATTGATTTTTTAATGAGTAATGATTACATAAACTAAACATTTTAATAATTAAATAGTCTCATAAAGACTAAATTATTATTTTAACAATATTTGACAAAAAACTATTTCACTTAAGTCGTCTTTGTACTGCAAAAACGTCTACACAAAGATTTTTTTATTTTTGTCTAAACATAAGATATTAATTACCCACAAAACGAAATGTTTTCCTAAACCTGATAATCTATGAGAGGTAAGATAGTCACCATTTTTACAATTTAAATGAAGGTCATTTAAAAATCTACTTAAATATTTTAAATTAATTTAGAGAAAATAGTTTTTACTATAAACGAACTATTATAATATATATATAATACAGAAAAATTTACTTTGAATCAAAAAAGATTTAATTATAATTTAATTATCTTTTTATAGTATATTAATTCCTGAACACTATCATTATTTATTCCAACAGTTTGTAGTATCAAATTTCCATCTTAATGAAATAGATGATGATAGCAGTGATTAATGTTAATAAATTATATTATTATTTCTTAGTTAAAAGGAACAATTGATTTATGTTAGAGAAATGAGACTTTAATTTTATTCAATCTGTAATTTATTATCAAATATATGATATATTATTTTTATATAAGTTTTTTATTATTTTAAAAAAGGTTATAAAATTATGTTATTAATTAAAAATAAGACCTTATTTTATTATTCATGTTTCATAGTATACATCAAACACCAGCTTTTATAATTTATTTCTATCTTAATATTTAATAATTTTTTTATATTAATGTGTTATTTACAAGGCAAGGAACTGAAATAAATTTTAGGTTACAATAGAGTTTTAATGATTAAATTTATAAATATTTCGGTTTTAAATGAATTTTAAAGAAATTAATATTTTCATTTTTTTAGTAAAATAGTATTACCGAGCGAATAATACAATTATATAGCGTTAGTTAAAAGCTATGTCGTAATATGCCCAATGATTTGCATTACCCATCTTATATAAATCAATGAAAAATTCATGATCTGTATTTTATATTACTTTTAAACAAACAATAAATTTATCTACCATAACATGTACACTATTCAATACAATGTCTTATTATTTACATATATGTCTATTTATCCATTGTTAATTGTACTATCTTAATATAATAATAATTATTATGTAATGTATAATTAAATACAATAAACTAAAAAGATCACTAAATACGCTAATAATAATATCCCTGGATTGGGGGTATCATGACATACTATAAAAATAACTGAAATCCTTTTAGAGTTCAGTTCGTCTTTGTCTGGAACTATCATCAGTCACAACACCATGTTTTTGTTGGTTATCATTTTATGTGCATTTTACCAATATATACGAAATGATTTTGTATTAATTTATTATTTTAATTTTGTGACGCGAAAGGAATTAAAATAAAAACATAATCTTATTGAATCAATTATGAACAACATAGTTATTAAGTAGATGGTACGAATTTGATATCTCTATACGTTGAAAAGTTTATCGAATTGTCTTAAGATTACAATTTATTGCTGCAAAATACGAAGTAAGTCAATTTGCATTATCCAAATTATTTAGAATTAATAATCTGAATAATGAATGATAAAACAATAGATAAAACGTTTTTATTAATTCTATAAACATTAATTAATTATCACTAAGTAGTTTTTACCTTATATACATAATCATATTACATTGTATTTGTAAGATGGCCACAACCTCTTCATTGCATAAAAAAGTTTAAAAACCTAATATGATTTCTACTGTATATACAAACACTTCGATTGTGTACTCGTGAGACGGCTACGACCTCTTTGTTGCCTTTGTGTTTTGTAAAAATTTACCAAACAGCCTATTTATATCACTTATATAAAGAGAATTATTAATTATTTTCTTTTTACATCTACTTGTCTTTATTGTTTTAAACCCTCGGACCCCAATAGAGAAATAAATATCATATTTTATTAAACAAGAAGTAATCTAAAATAAGCCATCATCATACTAACTTACCTACCAAAAACTCATTATTTACTTTTATTTTGCATTACTACAGCTATGTTGATATTAAAAAATTTTTTTTCATAATATAATGAAACGTAAAATATAATGACAAATATTTTATCTACACATTTCAATGGCTTTTTAAAAGTTTAAGCATGTCTATAGCTTCTTAAAACTTTAGGTTATCTATGGCTTTTAAAAATTCCAAATAAAATCAAAATATCAGAGTTTCAAAAGGATCACAAAAGTATTGTTTTAAACTGACAGGCGTTTTCCAGAGAAATATAAACTGACGTTGAAACCCTTTCGTTTTAAAGCAAAATTAAAGGTTTTTAGAAGGAACACTGAATGAAGACTTTAAATACAAGTTAGAAGTATACATAATCATATATATATAATTGTTTAATTCAAAATAAATACGTCCTTTAGTTTCAAAATATTTTTGTTACAATAGTCGCAGAAAAAAAAATGTAGAGTAACGGCATCAGTACTTGGCAGCTTTTCAGTTTTTGGTAATTTTATATTTAATATGTCACAGTGTTTTTAAAAGTTCTAAAAAGTAAAAATTTGTTTCCTTATGAAATCTCATAAATGATTCAAAAATCAAAGAATTATATAAAACTTGAATAAATAATTTTTTTAGTATTAAATTTTGTTGCCAAAAACTGATTAATGTGCCTTCTCTAGATGTTTTTACTTCCCTAATATTTCTCTCAGATACAAAATAAGCAAAATATCTCAAAATTATAATAATTTAGATAATTGGTTTTCTGAAACAAATTTATAATTTACATAGGTATCTTTAGAACCCTAAAAAAAAACTCATAACATTTTTGTTAAAAAACCATCGAAATACATTGTATTTTCTATGATAATCTACTGATTAAGTTTTTTAGTATTATTATTTTTTATCAATTAAGTGATAACTAAATATTGAATAAAAAATATTAATACATTTAAAAATAATAACAAAATAACTTAACATAAAACAATATACAATTTATCAATAAAGATAAATTAAATTTTTTAACATTTAATTATAAATTAATTTTTTCAAAATTATTTTTTTTGAGTTGCAGTAGTCTTATATTAAGGGTGCGATATGTAATCATAATAGTCAATAAACATTAAATTTAAAAAAATTTTGAAGGTCAATAAAATTTCTAAAAATTTTCCAATAACAACTATTACACTATTTTTTGAAATCATTTATGATTATATAATCAGCACAACATTATTTACTTATAGTTAAGATATTAAAATTAACATAATTTAACTTTGAAATAATAATTTTAAAATGAGTTTGAGACTCGCTAGAATTGTCATTTCATCCACAAAGTCAAAGTAATGTTTTTATTAGTAAAGAAACTATACATCAACAAAGCATAATAAACTTTATTTTAAAATGGAAAACACGTTTATCTTATTTTTAACAAACATAAAATAACCTTTTTCGTATTTTTAATAAAACGGTCTTTTATTTGTCTGTATTTAATTAGGCGCGTTGTTTCATATTATACAATATAAGAAAAATGTTCGGTTATCTAATAAAACAATTATTTCTACTTATTTAAGAGCTCATTAATGATTGTAAAGTCATATAATTTTAACTAATTATTATCCAAAAGAAAAGAGACGTAATTATTTTACTGTTAATCCAAACAAATAATGAAGCTGTTAGATTAACCAAATTCTCAAAAACTCTTAAAAATACAAAAGGAACAAAAAAATATAAATATACACGCATATATCTTTCTCGCTGATTATTATTAAAAACAATTAATAAACAATTTTAACATAATCTAATAATACAAAAATTCTTTAAAAAAATTTTAGCAGAATGTTTATTTAATCAAAAATTATTAGAGTTAGATATGCTTAAATTTGATATTTTTACATAAATATGAAACGCATATATTTTACTGATTCTATAAAACGTTAAATCATGTAAATGCTATTTTGATATCGCCATAGCAATTTAGAAAAAACTGACACATTTTTGTTATAAAAATTAATTTTACTTACCTATTGGAACTACTGAAGAATTATTAAGTGATACAGCATAAATAACTGTCAAATACCTAAACAACAATAGCCCAGCAGTATAAAATATTTGAAATCCACCAAACTTTTTTTCCATATTCTGAAAAAATAATTTATAAAAATAAATAAAATATATTAACATGTATTCAATATAATTTACCTTACTAAAATGATTTTTAAGTAAACTGATAACAAATAACAAGTAAAAATTAAATTATGTCATTTTTCTTTTTTAAGGTTAGAAACTACAATATATCGTATTGAAATATATATATATATTTTACTCATTAATGTAAAAAAAAATACTAAATGAAAATTGTTTGAATAATATAAAATTTATGTTAAATTACTTATTTTGACATGGTTGCGTATTAAAAAAAAAACTACTGAAGAATAAAATAATATGACTAAATAAAAATCACATATTTTAACTTAATCTATTTTGCTTTTGATGTACCTTTCTAAAATAAACTTATGAAAATTAATTTACAATATATTAATTGAAAAATAAATATCATGGTAAAACGATGTGGCATTGAAAAATTGTACAATTAATTATACTAACTATTTTCTTCAACAGCAAATAATTGTTTTTTTTTATATATTGCGCACAGTATGGCTTCATTGAGGTATTTGACCATTTGTTACAATAAAAAATAATATATTATGAATAAAAATTAGGATCACAAGATTGGTTCAGTGATAAATTGTTTTAAGTTTAAGTCAATAACTTACTTATTGGATAAAAATGAAAATAACCCAAAAACTTTTTAGATCACATTAAAACGTGTAATATATATATATCAATAAACAATGCATTTTTTATTATACAGATTAATGATGGGTATTGTCAATTGAGAAATTGAAGTTTACGTCCTTATAAAATGTAAGATATGAACATAAAAAATACTTCAAGATTGATAAATTGAGAGAAACACTTAATTAAAATAAAAAGTTTATTAATATTATTTTTATTTTTCGATTAATTAAGTGATATATGATAAGTAAATCGTCTATATACAATAGCAATACTGAACATTGGTATAAACATAGTTAACACGCCTAGAAAACTTTATTTAAAATCAATTATTTTATTTTTATTATACTACAAAAAGAATTAGTAATGTACTGAGAATACTAAAATAAAAACTCCACTTTATTATATCGTTTAGTTAGGAACTTTATTTAAGGATACATCAAAATTTGAAATAAATTACATTAATATTTCAAAAAAAATATAATTACATTTTATTTGTTAGTAGTTCTATAGCCTAATACTATTGTTCTAACTCCTTTATAAAAGTAAAACGTTATTATCAAAAAAAATTATTATCTATAAAAATTAAACGTTAATAATTAAATTAAATAGAATAAACTTGTTTTAATCAAATAAAATACTGTATCTATGATATCTTTGGTAGGATTTTACGACATTAAGAGTTCAAGTAGAAGCTCAAATACTTAATGTTTAGTTATTATTTCAATGCAATATATTTATACTTATGTATTTTGAGAAAAATAAAAGGAAGTATTTGTCTATTATATTACAAAATGAAAAAAAATGATTTAGCTGATTTAAATTTTTATATCGTAATCAAAATTATACTTTATATCTTATTATTATTATGTTTTTAATTTCAAGCAAATAAGAATTGTTTTTATTTTTTCGACGAACGTAACTCAAATAGATTTTCATAAATACAGAAAATAGATTTAAAAACAAAGGTATTGTGTTTTCTTTTTCAGGCTCAAGTTATATTATCAAAATACATATCAAAAAAGTAAACAATCCTTTGTCAATAGTTGTGAACTTTATTTTCCTGAATGCATGAAATCATCCTCATAAGTAAAAGAATATCATAAAAATACTAACATCTCACTAAAATTCTTATGAATATAACTGTTATGACTCAATTTTTTTAATTTTAAACTGTATAAATTTGATATCCTAATAATTTTGAAATAAGACTAATATGATAAAATTAATAATAAAATTTAAAAATACATTTCAATTTTTTTTTTAATTTTTACTGTACATTCTTAATTTTTTGTAATTGGTGTGGACATTCAACTTTTGCAAAATTTTTATTTTAATCAATGTTTCATATTATAATAATTCTTCTTTGCCTTAAGGTGAAAGATGCTAAAAGAAATTGAAGGTTTTACTTAATTAAATTATATTTTCCTATTAAATTCTACCATAAAAAAAATTTACAAATAATTGAAAATGTTTTCATTTAACATAAATATTATATTTAGAAAATATCCTAAGATGTACTAATATTATTTAATATGTTGCTATTTACATTTATAATACACTTAACTTAAATATGCTCATAATAAGAATAATAGGTTAAACATTTCACAAACGCTTATGAAATATTGCACTTATGTGTGATAAATAAAATAAATAACAAACTTCCAAACGCATGTTCTGATAATCTTCACGTATTGTAAAAGGACAAACAGTGCTAAACGAACATCGTGTCCAGAGAGTAAAAAAGGGATAGTAAAGACTGTTGGCTTTTAATGCATGTAAACTCCCATGGGCTGTGTTTACACTAAAAACATCTACAAAAGATAACATGCGAGGAAAAGCGTTACCATGATTTATCCTTTTTGTGGTTACAACAATAGGCTGGTGCTATACGAATTTTGATAAAGTAAGAGCTTCAACGTAGTTAGTGGGCAAATCATTAGATATGGCGCCAATCTCACTCTATTATCCACACTCATAAGAAAGCAGTGTCGAAGAGTTAACAGCTATCGTTTTAAATATAAATTCGCATTAAATAAACTTATATTTGCAAAAATAAAATGACTAAAACAACAAAAAAACATTGGTTGACATCTATTATAAAATGGTTATTATTAAAAGCCTAATTATATTTCATAAATCAAAATTTTTAATGAATTCTGACTTCAACTTTATAGAAGTTATACAGAGTATAACTTAACTTGATATATTTTTTATTTTAAGCTATCATATAAACAATTTAAAGGTTTTAAACTATAAAATATAAGTCAATAAAATGTTACAGTTTATTCGCTCCAGAAATATAATAAAACATATGAATGAATAAAAACTGAAAATGAGTTCTAAGCATCTTCTTAAGAGAACATATAATTAATTAGATCAAAACAAGAGCAATTATATAATATAGCACTTAGTATAGACAATTAAAGATCATTCTTTAAAACTCTTCTCGATACTAATGCAAATTTTCTCTTATTACAAAATTAACACTCGTGTTCTATGTACTATCTTAAAGTTTAATTTTTCTCTTTTAATAAAACTTACACATTAAGAATCAAATGCTTCATAGTAAATACAATCAATGAGTAAAAATAACTATATTTTGCAATATATCTTTATTAAAAAAAGAAAAATATGTAATATAAAACCAATGAGCTATTTATTGAACTATTGAAATATCTACAAATATTTTAATTTTGTTGATTGTATTAACTAATTAAAAGTTTTATTATAAACAATCTATTTACTAAGTCTCATATGTTATTATCTAAAATAATTCAAAACCTTTGAATGTAACAATCTTATGATATTTAAACCCTATATGAGTTTAAATATCAATGAAATTATAAAAACAATTAAATAGTTACACTCTGTTAATTTCAAAGTGTATTATACTGTTGATTATAATATTAGGGTCAAGTGTTGTGCACACTGTTAAAACATATCCTTTTGTGGTAAAATAATTAATATTTTACACATTAAGAGATAAAGCTCATCCCAAATAAACAAACAAATTATCAAGATAAGACCTTTTTTCTTAAGAATTTACTTGTTTATCCCTAATTTTAATTATATACTTTAGGAATGGAATTCAAAAACAAATGTCGCTACTTATTAATACTTGGAATTTTAGTATAATGTATAACTTTAACCTTAATTAAGCTTTAACTCAATTAAGTATATATGTTTTTAGTGACAAATACATTATATGAAATGATAATAATTTTTAACTTTAATTTAACTAAAAATTTAGATTAGATTAATTATGAGTAGTAATGTATAAAATTAATTTATTGGAAATTGTGATTACTTTTTAACACAAGAGCAATATTTTTGAACACGGCGTTTCCGATAGGCAAAATAGGTACATGAATGTCAAAAATACAATTAATTTAGTATTGGAACACAACAAAGTCATAATTTTAACATAAGTAGTTATACAAACAGTAGCACAGTAGGGTTGTGGCATAGTGGGGGCAAGTATACATGATATCTGACAGTTATTAAAATCACTATCATAAGAAACGCTTCGATGTAAATCTGTAGAGAGTGTTTAATTCTAAGAAATTGGTGGATAATTACAAAAGCAACATCAACTCCTATTTTCTTAATTATATCCTGAAGAGTAGTTATTTGATTTAAAATTATAGTATATAAATAAATACTAATTATAGTAATTAAATTTAGAATGTAATTGATTTTCAATAGTTTAGTATTGAATTTTATAAGAAGAAATTATAAACTACTAATAAAGTAGTTATATATTTCTTTACTTTTAACGTGTATAAAAATTTAAAGGGCTTGATGCAATAATAAAAAAATTATTACTTACGAATACACTGATCTACAAGGAATGTTCATTAGAATCAAAAATATACATTTCTAAATCAAATTATTACGTTGTTAATTAAGTGCAATTTTAATTGCACTTAATTTTAAACGCTTAAAATTAAATGCAATCAATTAATTATTGCAATATTTAGAACTTAATTGATTTTAATTACTTACTTTAACTAAAAAAACAATCAAAAAGTTGTTAAAAAATCTTATCAATTGAGTGTATTATAAAAATTGGTTATAATTGTAAACATTCTTTACATAATTTACATGAAACCCAAAATAATTTTTTCAGAAATGATTTTTATAATAATGTCATCAAAAAATTTGGAATATCAAAGAAAAAAAATAATCAAAAAATTAATTTTGTAATGGAAAATTATCAAATCTCATTCGACAATAAATAATTTAAAAGCATTAAAAATGGATGGTTTTAATTGCCTATGTGGATAATGTGGGCTAACTAGCCCACATTGCACTTGAAAATAGATAAAAATATCGATTTA